ATCTACGCAGATAAGATTCATGTACCTCCAACCTTACTGAATTTTATCTCGTCTCCTTGGCCATTCTCCATGTGGGGGAATTGATGTGATTGGTATGATAGAACCGAAAGCATCTAATGGACACTGATTCATCTTAGTAGCAATTGATTATTTCACTAAGTGGGTCGAAGCAGCTTCCTATGCTATTGTAACTAGGCATGTGGTTGTTAAGTTTATCAAGAATCAACTCATCTGCAGATATGGTGTACCAAGCAAGATTATTACGGATAATGGGTCCAATTTGAACAACAGAATGATGAAGGAATTGTGCGAAGAATTCAAGATTGAGTATCGCAACTCTTCTCCTTACAGATCGAAGATGAATGGGGCCGTCGAAGCTGCCAACAAGAATATTAAGAAGATAGTTCAGAAGATGGTTGTTACGCACAAGGATTGGCATGAGATGCTTCTGTTTGCTCTACACGGATATCGTACTCCGGTACGCACGTCAATTGGGGCAACTCCATTTTCACTTATTTACGATATGGAAGTTGTACTCCCAATAGAATTAGAGATTCCTTCTATGAGAATTTTGATGGAGGCGAAGTTATCAGAGGTTGAATGGTGCCAAAGCAGATATGATCAACTGAACCTGATTGAAGAAAACAGAATGGCAGCATTGTGTCACGGTCAGCTATATCAACAGAGAATAAAGAAGGCGTTCGACAAGAAGGTTCGACCCCGTGAATTCAAGGAAGGCGAACTTGTGCTCAAGAAGATCCATTCATTCCTCACCGATACCAGAGGAAAGTGGGCTTCGAACTATGATGGTTCCTATGTGGTGAAGAAAGTCTTCTCAGGAGGTGCTTTGATGTTAGCAACTATGGACGGAGAAGAGATCACTCGCCCTATGAATAAAGATGCTGTTAAGAAATATTTTGCTTAGAACCTAGGAAGTTCGAGTTGACCTGGGGAGAAACGGGTTATTATTCCCCTGATGTAATCATTATTGTTATTTTCCAACATTGTAATATTGGAGTCATGCCTTTTTGCTGACTACCATTCAATAAATAAAATTGCTTTTTCTTATTTCTTGTGCGATAAATGTTTTATCTTGATAGCAAAGTTCTGGAACAAATATTTAAAACCTTTTTTTTCAAATATATTTGTTTTACTTGATATATGAATAATGAATGGACGTTCATGGATGTTTATTTCATTCATGGAAATACCGAATCATGATTCCTGTACAAGATAGATGAAGATTTTTCCGAGGAAGTGGATATTTATTTTATCCTGTGGCGGAGTCCGATATTTTGTTCCCCATAGGGAATTCTAGAGCAAGCTTATTTTCTCCAGGCGATGTTTGATCTGTGAAGATTTGGTTTGAGTGCCCTTCGCCTGAGATGTTTATTTCATCTCTGTTGTTAGCATACGCATAGCATATAGATAGATAGCATAACATGTGCATTTTGCATCTTTGTGTTTGTTTATTCTGTCACTTTGGTCGTGGTTATCCCCAAGTGATCGGGTTCATCTTCTCCTTCCAAGTAGAGTTATCGGTTCTAGGCAGAAAGAGCACAATATTCCTATTTCCCCACAAAGTTCGATCCTCGTGGAAGACGATTGTTTCAGTACATCCCATTCGAGCTCATACCTCAATGGTTGCATCTTACTTGACAACTTCTCTTTGGTTATTTCCCGAATTGAACTTTGGTCCCTAACAATCACATCTTTTGGGATATCTCCAACTTTTGAACCCGGATTAAGCTTGCATTTATTTTTCACTTTGCTCCCCAAGAAGGTTTTTTCTGAAGATTATCATTGAAGACATATATTACCGAATTTTCTCAACAATTTATATTTGGATCACAAGCGACCTCTTTATTTGAGTAACTTGTTTTAACCCGGTTTTCTATTAAAGCAACAAATGACAGTCTCCTCAAGTCAGTTTGTCCATCCCCAGTGACTTATCAAGATTATCAACTAGTCAAATGACATCTTTTTGGAAATCCGTCAGAGAAGTTTGTCGAAGACTTTACAGATATTTTCTCTTTATTTGAGAAGTTTAGATCCTACCCCTTAAGGAGGACCTTTTTTTAAATTTTTTACAACTTAGATAAACCAATATTCAACTCATTCAACTATTCTCCCTACAAGAGAATAAGACGTTAGTCATCTTGACAGTTGAGATGTAATTCTCCTGCCCCATAACAATACAATCGAGATATAAGATATTTTTCGCTTGAGGGAGCTAGTGGCATACTCGTCGATAATTCTGAGTGTTTGAGCCCTTCTCTCAAGATGATGAAAAGACCGTCTCCTACAAGTTGTGGTGGTTAAGTCGAGTGTTCTCCCTTGAGATGACGACTCGTCTTTTCTCCTAGAATCAATCAATCAACAAACCCTTTCCCTTTGGAACTTTGACCAACAGTCAATGATTCCTCAAACCCTTTAGGAGAACTACAAATACTCTGATTCCATTCCCGTCAGAATATGTAGGCACAAGATGCGACGTCTTGGCGAGTATACTTAGAAATAAACCACTAGGTCTTTTATCCTTAAGTAGATAACCCTTAGCAATAAACAACATAAAACAAGAGGTTCCTGTAGAGTACTACAGAAACTTAGGATGCTAGTACCTTCCTTAAGTTTAACCAACCCCGGAACCTAAACTCTCTAGCTTTTGCATTTGTATTGCGTTGTGGGTAATTCGATCTTTTTCCCTTCCTTTGGACAAATTAAAGACCGGTTGTGAATGAATTAAGATTCAAGTTAATCAATAGCTTGATATCCAATTTTCACCATGACAGATAGCAGTAGCCACAACTAGTGAAGAAGCAAGTTGGTTAAGATGCTTGCTAGCAGAGATCCTTCTCTGGGAGAAACATTTGCCAGCTGTGTTGATCCACTCCGATAGTACCGCGACTATTGCAAAAATTGAGAATCGCTACTATAATTGTAAAAGACGTCAAATTAGAAGAAAGCGGAGCATTGTTAGAGATTGTATCTCTAAAGGAGCTGTAAGAGTGGATCATATACAAACTGATGAAAACTTAGCAGATCCTTTGACGAAAGGATTAGATAGAGAGAAAATCCATAATACATCGAAGAAGATGGGACTAATGCCTATAAAGAAATGAGTTACTTGTGATGGTAACCTGACCTAGATGATTGGAGATCCCAAGAAATAGGGTCAATGGGTAATAGCAAGTCATGAGCAATATGAGATGATGATGCAAGTGAAGCATGAATCTTGAAGTAATAAGAAGATGAGATAATAGAAACTCTTAATGAGATCTATACTCTGTGTGAGAGAGTACCTAGGCTACAGGAGTTCTCTTGATAGACTCACCTTTGTGATTGTGGAACTTAGGCCGGTTCCTATGGAATTTCGAGGCAGAATTCCTAGAGCCTTCAATAAACCAGGATACACGTGCAGGTCCATTAAAGCACGAATTATTAGAATACACATAAAGAAAAGGTTATGTGCGGGTTTTGATGTCTAAGATAGAGTTCAAGACAATAGTGTCACTCTTGTTGAATCAGAGTCTTACCTGTTACGCAGAGGTTCAAGTCATAGACACCTTTGCTTATGCACAATCTTAGAAATGTTTGACGTTACTTCTAAAATCACCTTTTAAATTCAAGTGAGAAATTGTTGGAAAACTTGATGTGAATTTGAAAGGGTCATTTGTAATAATTAATGGAAGTTAATTCTAATTGATTACGTGGAAGTTAAATAATTAATATAAATAAATTATTAATTAATAATTATAATGTGTCACTCATCAAAACCTAGTTTTAACCTAGTTTTGAATGAATAACTCCCTCCCACTATTTTCTCTACACTCTCCCACTATTTTCTCTGCATTCAGTTGAATCTCCCATTAATAGGGTTCATCATTTCAGTTGCAAAACACGGCAAATTTTTGAATTTTTGGAATCTCTCTTCTCCCTCTTTATTTTCTCCCTCTCAAATTATTTATGTCCTTCTTTATTTTTTGAGTGGTTTATCGCACTATCAACGACTGAAATTATTTTCATATACAGATGGTTTAAAACATCATTTGAAAGTGTATCTCTACGAACGATTTATTACAGTGCAAGTGATAATCGTATTTTTTGAACGGACAGTTTTATTCTGGAGACGTCGTCGAAACGTGATTGCATTGCATAAATTTGACACTACGACGAAACGTTTTAAAGAAAGCGACCTTGTACGCGACTCATCTCGATAATTTTCTTTGTGACAATTTTTCCAAAACCGAAAAAACAACATATATATATATATATATATATATATATATATATATATATATATATATATATATATATATATATATATATATATATATATATATATATATATATATATATATATATATATATATATATATATATATATATATATATATATATATATATATATATATATATAGTATCAAATACAAAATTAAAAAATAATAATAGTGTATGTGTACATCAAACACAAGATAAGATAAGTTTAAGATGGCATTATCATTTTTTTTCTTTCTAATTTCTTATCCTATCTTATCTTTATTCTATCATGTCTTATTTCTATCCTAAAGTGGTCTTGATTTTGTTAAATCTTGACTGTTGTAGCTATTATGCATCCTTCAGCAGTTTTTGATTTGACTGTGTAAATATATGTTGCCTGATTGATAGAAAATAACATATCCCTTTTAATTTACTTTATTTAAGATTTATCATCACCAAACAAAAATAACAGTCTTAATATATTGATCTAAATTAATAGATAACCAAGTGATTGAATACAAACCATTATAATGGATTCACATTCCTCTTAATTTATAATGCACAATTAATAGAGAAGCAACAAATATACCTCATCCAAATTCTCTAAAAATTGTTCATATCTATAGGGGAAAATAACATAACACAATGTAAAAACTAAAATAATACCCTAGAACTTTTCTATACAAAATTACAACTTAACCATTTGATTTATTGTCTGCATAATTGAAACACAACTTGATTCATTTCTGATTTTTGCATCTGCATTTAGCTCTTCTTGCACTCATAATCTGCATAAAACAATTAAGAATATATATTAGTAAATACATGAACTAATCATGATTAATTTCATGGCAATAAGTAGTACCTTTATTTGTTTTTGAAGATCTTTAATGTACTCTACAGCCAATTCCAACATTTCTGATGTGCAAGTTTGCTGCCAATAATTAAACAATGTTTAACTTTTCAAACACAATTGTCCCAAAAAAATCAGCAATATTATGTGATGATGAATCTAACCTTGTCAGTATTTGGAATAAGCTCTTGCAACTTTTTCATTCGTTCGCTTATTCGAGTTCTTCTTACCCTTTCTGCGACGCTTCTAGGATGCGTTGCGCAGCCTCGCTTTGCTCTAATACTACTACTAGGAATAGAAGAATCCGGGAACTGATGTAAATTCTCCACAACAAACATTTCTGATGACTTTCTTGCCAAACTCATGTGATGTGATAGTGTATCAACTTGATTTCCTACCTCTACATTCTGAGAGCATAACAACAAAATCGCGAGTCTTTAAAAATAGAGATCAAAACTGCATTTAAGCCTGATAAAATTTTTGTTAACATGCTATATACCTGATCATTATAATCATAAAAGAACTTATGACCATCACTCCCCATTTTGGAATTCTGTGATAATCTTCCCAATGAAGAAGGGTTTCTTGTTGAGAATCCGATTTGATTCTTCAATATGTTCATAGAAAGAGTGAGTTCACCGTCACTACTGTCATTCACCCCATCATAGTTTTCAACACCTTTCATGGTGTCATAACCTGCAATTTACATTTACATGCATAAATACTACTAGTGTGTGAAAAAATTGATCATGATCCTATTTGATACATATTGCTAGGTATAAAACCTTTATTATAGATATAGACAGAGAATGAATTCACCAATGTTTGCTTATCATTTGTATCAGCAAATTCTAAACAACCATAAATTGGACAGACGCGCCGCCATTGTACAAAATTTACTTATACTTTTGTATTTATTACTCTTTCCCTCTCATAAAAAGTGTAATATTTGAGTTATGCGCGCTTTGAAAAAAATAATTATATATATGTTAATTTTAATGAAAAGAAATTAGTAAAATTTATTTTGAGACGAAGAAAAAGTGCAATTGTTACAATTTTTAGACATGCATGTTATTTCAATTGAATTTGTTCTAGCTTCTTCTTCTTTTGTTTATGTGAAGTAACATGTCAACCCTAATGAAAATAATTGTGTTCCAGAAAATATTACACGCAAAATAAATATTGAAATTACTAGCAGAAAAAAAAAGTCAAAAACAGTAGAAAAAGTAGTAGTACAATACCATTTTGAAAGGAGATGATGTTGTTGGAGAAATGAGCAGCAGAAGAACTACTTGGTTGATCCATTCTCATTCTCATAGAAGAACCAACAAGCATGCTTGAACTTGCACCAGAAGAATTTGTATTATTAAAAGAATTATTATTATCATTATCCAAGAAATCTCGAGAACTAGATGAGCTCGTTGTAGAGCGAAAACGAAGTAACCTTTGATTTTGATGAAGTTCACAAGAATTCAAATCCATTAAAACTAAATGAAAATCTTCAAAAACTAAAAATATAGAAATGGTTAGGTGTGGGAGGAGGAAGATGAAGAGAAAAAGAGAAGAAGGAAGATTTGAATATTTTAATGTTATTTTTTGTGACGTCGCAGGACCCAATAATATTACTAGTGTCTTTTATTGGATTATGATTCCAAACAAGGAAAGTGTAGTATTATTTTAATTCCAATTTGCCAACATGGTTTTTTTTTCTACCAACTTGTACCAACATGACTTTGTTTATAAAATAGTTTTGTTTTATAGTCATGTAAAAAATCTTACTAAATTTGAAAATCAATGTTTTTCTAAAGGATCTTTTTACATCAAAATTTTGAATTTGAAAAGTGTGCGGTTACAATTTTAGGTAGGAAGTAGTCAACTATACTAATAACAATTGAATTAAGGTTTTAGTTTGAGTTGTATATTTAAAATGGATGTAAATTGTAATATTACTAGTTAGAAATGAAAAATATATATTTATATGAATGGGTAAATTAGGAGGATTAAAATTATAATTAAAATAAAAATATATAATTTATATATTCTAATTATTCTAATTTTTATTTATAATATATCAAAGAAATATTAAATTTAAATAATTAATTAGTGATAAAACATGTGTCACTCGTATTTGTATGTTCAAATAATTTATTAAGTGACTCGTTTCTAAAAATATTGTGAAAAAAGTGTAAATAAAATTTAGTTAGACTAATAAAATTATTCTCAATTTTATATTGATGCAATTTAAAAAAAATATATATAGTTTCAAATAATTATTTAACTATAAATATTTGTCTTTGATTTTTATTATAAACTATAATTAGTTTATTAGAATTATTCTTTTTTTTATATAAGCAAATATTATTAAAAAGATATTAAGAGAATCTCAAGACAACAATACAACAACCACCTCTAGACTATGGACTATTACAAAAAATCAAATAGAAATTTAAACCACTCGTACAGGCTACGATAATTAATATCCTTCCTTCCTAGAATCAACTAATTCCACGATGATACTTTAATATCGAAAACAATGTCTTCTACGTCAAAAGTTTCATGATTGAAAATTATGTTATTTATGGCCCTCCATAGAATCCAGCACGAAAAAAACCAAATTGAGTTGATCTTATTCTCTTTGCACCGGCCCGAAAGTCTCGAATTCCAAGCCTTCGCATGAAGATAACAACTATCCTCCGATATGAATCCAATATCAACCCATTCGCATATCTTATTCCAAATCATCAAGGATTTAGAGCACGAGAAGAATATATGAGAAATGTCCTCGAAACTAGACAAACAGAAAGCACAAATTGAAAGTTGGGGATCAACAATCACCCTTCTTTTTAACAAGTTTGACTTAGTAGGCAGCCTATCTAACGCCATCCTCTAAATAAAAGTTTGAATTTTTGTCGGTATCACCGTTTTCCAAAAGGTCTCCAGAAAAATAACGCTATCTCTTTGAAAATCAAACCCAGATGCGGAGAAATTTAGAACGGAATAGAAAGAACTAACCTTGTACGAATGAGATTCATCAAGAATCCATTTCCAATTATCAGCGACATTTATTTTTGCTACATTCTGATCCAAAAGCAACTTACATTCAGTCCACTCTAGCTCATAAATGGAATCCATATCTATCAACAAATCACTCAAATTCCAAATCCATTGATCGTCTTCCCAAGCTCCCATCTCACTAACACTCGCGACTTTATGGGAACAGCCCTGAAATAGACGTGGAAATCTACTTTTAAGCGGTATCTCTCCGATCCATATGGACTGCCAGAATGTCGTATCACAGCCATCACTAATCTTGCAAGCCGTGAACTGACATAATTCCTCATGGGAACTGTTGCTAGAACTAGAGAGAGTATCCTTCATCCAATTTGAGTCTAATTTCGAACCACCGGCATCGGCATAAGTCTGCACCTTCAAACTCAAGTTACCATATCTGAGATTTAACGTTGATCTCCAGATTTCATTACCACCGTTTTGGAATCTCCACAACCATTTTGCTATAAGGGCTTTATTAAAATGACCAACGTGTTTAATACCAAGGCCTCTGTGCTCCTTAGATTTGCAGATAGCATTCCATGATATCCAAGTGATGAATTTATTATTGGAATTCCCAGCCCAGAGAAAACGCTGTTGGATAGCAATAATATCGTTCACAATTTTCTTGGGAGCCTTGAAAAAAGCCAAGGAATGAATAGGCATGTTAACTAAAACCGAATTAATGAGGGAAACTCTACCTCCCATCGGCAAATTTCTCCCAGCTCAATTAGAAAGTTTATTCCTCAACCGAAACAGAACCGAATTCCAGAAGGAATTCTGACGATGATTACCTCCTACCACAAGACCAAGGAAACTGAGGGGTAGCCTACCAGATATACAGTGCAGAAATTCTTCTGCTGCATCAAGGAACGCAGTTTCTATACCTATTCCATAAAGACAACTTTTAGAAAAATTAATCTTCAGACCAGAGCTTAATTCAAACGCACGCAGGATCGCCTTGAAAATCCAAATATTAGATATCGATCCATCTCCTATAAGCAGAGTGTCATCGGCGAATTGGAGCAGGTTCACAATGGCTTGATCGTTGATCTTGAATTCAGATAATAAGTTACCCGCAGCCGCAGCTCTAACTAAACAAGAAAGGCCTTCTGTAACTATGGCAAACAAATACGATGCCAACGGATCTCCCTGCTTCAACCCTCTTCCAACCTTAAAATCCTTCGAAGGGCTTCCGTTAATAAGGATTGAAACGAAACTATTAAAAACAGAGCCTCGAATCCATTTCATCCAATTAGAACCGAAACCCATCTTGACAAGCATATCTTCAAGGTAAGACTAGTCCACACAATCGTAAGCTTTAGCAAAGTCGACTTTGAAAAACAGACACTCCTTCTTAAATCTCTTAGCATAGTCGGCTAATTCATTGGCCAACAGAACCCCATTGTAAATTTGCCGCCCCGGGATGAAAGCTGTTTGGGACGGAGAAATAAGTTTGTGTATAACCTTGCTTAATCTGAAAGCTAGCATCTTGGATATAATCTTAATAACACAGCTAACCAAAGTAATAGGTCTAAAATCTTCAAACTTTTGAGGATTATTAATTTTCGGCACTAGCGATATGAACGATGACACGAACAGCTTAGGCAGAGCTCCTGTTTTGAAAAATTTCACAATGCAATTTGTGAAGTCCTGTCTAACAATGTCCCAACAAGATTTTATTTTAAAATTAAATCCATCAACACCTGGGAACTTGTTACCATCGCAGCTAAAAACGACCTTTCTCACATCAGCTGGGTTGAATTCAACTTCAAGAAGACATTTGTCCTCCTCATCAAGACTCGTAGCCAAGTTAAAATCACTTTTGACTTTAGACGAATTCTGCTGCATATATTTACCCATAAAAAACTTCGCCGCTTAGAATTTAATTTCCTTAGGATCATCCATTGTCCTGCCTCCCACTATAACCGCTGATAGACGGTTCGACGAATTCCTATATTTAAGGGAATCGTGAAAAAAAAACTTAGTATTACGGTCTCCATTTTGAAGCCATCTGACCCTGGATTTCTGGGCCAGCATGCTCTCTTTGGTCCTCAAATTTTTCCACATTTCCTCCTGATGCTGTGTCTTCCGCCTAACCAAGTCGTCATCAGTTAGGCCAGCTTCCTCAGTATAAACCATCTCCAACTTATTAAACTCTGCAATGTTTTCCTTAATATTTAAATCCAGCCAGCCAAAAACGTTGAGATTCCAAAGTCTGAGGTCTGTTTTCAGAGCTTAAAATTTCTTGGACAGAATGTTACAGTAAGATCCTGAAGCTTTGTAAGATTTCCACGATTTCGAAACAAAATATATGAAATCCTTATGATAAAACCAACAATTGAAGGTCCTAAAAGGCTTTGGCCCCCAATTGACGAAATTGGACTTCAGCCATACCGGCCAGTGATCCAATATGTCTCTATCCCCCACCACTTGATTCTTCAAAGAGAACAAATTTATAACCCGACCATCAACCAAGATTCTATCTAATCTACTCCTGCTCTTACTGTTTGAGTTGAACCAAGTGAACCGACTTCCGAATACCGGCAGATCCATAACATTGAAGTTTTCAATGAAATCGTGGAACTCCTTCATATCTCTACAGTTTTTGCCACTAAGACCTTGCCTTTCCTCTTCGTTTTTCACCGAATTGAAGTCACCCCCTACAATAAAACCAACATCAAGGTAGTTGCTTTTAATTTAAATCAGATCTCTCCACAACCTTCTCTGATCAGCTGATCCGCATGGTGCATAAATGTTGATAACAATCAAATTATGATTATTCCAAACTAAGTGCATTCCTAAGAAACCTTTCCCACTGAAACTAGAAACAGCTGAGATTCTGGTAGTATTCCATATGGTTAGAATACCTCCAGATTTGGCAACAGAATTCTGAGCCGACCAATCCTTATCAGAATTACTCCACATGCTGTTAACAATATCTGCTTCAATCGTATTGATCTTGGTTTCCTGAATCATGCAAATATCTGCATTTCCTCTTTGCAAAATTTGAGATATTCTCCTTCTCTTTAAGGTACTACAACATCCTCTAACATTGAAGGATACAAGATTCATAGTGCAATAGTAGCTACAATCTTCTTACCTAAAGCAACATCCTTATCTAACTTATCCAACTTTCTCAAGATATGCCCAAGGTTCTCTTCATCTTCACCCTGGATTCCCAGAACATTAATTAAATTTCCCAGTTTAGATGGAACATCTTCAATGATCCTTCTGCATCTTGAATTACCTCTTTCCACATCAGTATCCGTAATCGATTCACAGCATAATAAAGCAGAACAAGATCCTGAAATATCTTCAGCCAGATTACTCTTCTTCCTTTCCTCCTTATCAATTTCCTTCGACTCAGAATGAGGGTTAACCTTAGGGGCCACAAGAAGCAGGGTGGAATAATAAGAAGAGGTGTAGGGTAT